GAAAATTTATTTTGATCCAATGAACTATTGAATATGCAAGATGATAGTAAAATATTTCGTCTAACCTCAATAAGCCACTCATATTGCTCAACGTAGAATGTATACTAGTATCGATATAGTAAGCATGTATAGAATGTAGCTTGAACATGAAAATAATCCAGCAAGTTATACTATAATTGCCTATTATACCTCACAAGCAACAACCTTGTTCCAGTCAAGACAGATCATGATACTCTTTGTTGAGGCAATTATCTAAAGAAGCGAAAGTCATAGTTTAGGAGACAAATTATTAGTCAGTTGAGTAAATGATATAATATACTATATAGAGCAAGCTACTTGAAATTAACTTAGCCAAATAATCTAAACAGTCATTTGGTCAAGAGACTCGATAATAGTTTTAGTCTGTTTAGCAAATTGTATCGTAGAATACAGTAGAACAATTTAGGATGGAGTTACACAGATCCTCTGATCCAAGTTATTGTCTATACCGTTTATGCAATCATCAAACCTCTCATTTATAAAAACTTCACCTAGAATTTCGTACCACTCGCGTGCAACCTCATGATTGACGTTGTCATAACCATACAATGCCCAGTCAACGAGTAGCCAACACTCGTTTAATAGAATTTCTGCCCTTGGTTACAACTTTCCCGATTAGGTCATGTATATCTTTACCTCCGATTGCTACATGAGTACCTTATTTATTTCTAAAGGAGAAGTATAAGATGATGAAACTGACTTGCCTGAAAATGCAATAGCGCTTCTATTGATGCATTAAACGCTAGTCAATTGTCAATAACACCGGTGGTGAACTAGTTACGAGGCAAGTAAAGCTGCCAGACATGTCGCAGCCACAAAAGTTGCTATATTCTTTGTTAGCATAACTATTCCTAGATCTGCTATAGCTGAATACCAAGTTCTCCTCTTCACAATCTCTTCAATGATAGTTATGTCAACACTATTAATACCGATATAATAGAAACGTATTTGAAGATAATATAATTATTTTCTATGCAATCAACAGATTGAAAAGAATTTTGAGCCAAGCAGTAGCATAGCCAGAGACGATAACTTCGTGCTATGTATAAAAAGGAAATACGAGGTTCATAACCAGAATGAATTTAGCCAAAATTAAGGTTTTGAGCACCCGAATACTTTTTCATCATGCTTGAAATAGAACACAGATTGTTAGATCCTAATTAGTTGATATAGAACTATCAAAAATAGCTGACCATTGCAACAATTCTTTTAATCAGATATGGTAACTACAGTGAATGATAAAAAATGCAATTGCATATTAAATAAAGTTTTATTAGATAATAATGGAGCTAGATTAACTTTACATCTATGTAAATAAAAGACTTAGACTTCTATTTAGTTTTTTAACTGAGCCTTGACCCAGCCTTCCAAGCCTCCTTTGACGATGATATCTTGTAAATTGGTACCTAACTCACCAACCTTCTGGGTCAAAATGAGGTTGCCTTCAGCATCAGACACTGTGACTTGGTTTTTGGTCACGTCCCATTTTAAGAACCAGCCAGTTCTGATGGTCAATTCGTCGGATTGTGCATACTTCTCACGTAGTTTGTTAATCAACGCAGGAATTTCCAAGGTTAATAATGCATTATTAATGGAATTTCTAGAGAAAATGTTACCAAAAGATCCGGCAACGACTAATTTCATGTCTCTTGCCAAGATGGCTGTGGCTGCTTGTTCTCTTGAAGAGCCAGTACCAAAGTTGTAACCGGAAATAATAATGTCACCAGCCTTGGTCTTCTGTTTAAACTCTGCATCGTAGTTTTCCATACAGACCTCGGCCATTTTGGAACGTGGAATGTCATCTTGGTAAGTGTATTTACCAGGGTAGATACCGTCAGTGTTGATGTTGTCGGCATCACATAAGATCAATTCACCCTCAATAGATTTAGGGAAGCCATCTAAAACGTCAACCGAGCTACCAGTTGCATCTGCATCGACTGCTTCAGTGGATTCAGTAGCGGTTATGGATCTAACAATTTCAGGATTTGTAGGAACAGGGTTGCCTTGTAACTCTTCTGGACCACCGATTTTACCCAAAACTGCTGATGCAGCAACAACCTCAGGGGATGCAAGGTACGCTAATGCATCCTTAGAACCCATTCTGCCCTTAAAGTTACGATTAGTAGCTGAAATTCCAACTTCCCCTTCCTCTAATAAACCAGTTCCTAAACCAATACATGGCCCACAACCAGCAGGCAATGGTTTAGCACCAGCATCAATAATATCTTGCCAAGCTCCAATAGCCTCGGCATCTTTTTGGACATTCGACGAGGCAGCAGCAACGTAGAATTCAACCCCTTCAGCAACTTTGTGGCCCTTGATAATGTCAGCAGCCGCCTTGATATCACTTAATCTTGAATTTGTACAAGAAACTAAGTACGCCTTATTAATCTTGATGTTTTGTTCCGATAAATCATGTAACGATGTGGAAACTTTGACAGAGTTTGGACCGGAAATGTATGGTGATAAGGAACTTAAATCAACAACTAAGTGCTTTGCATATACTGCATCACTATCAGAGGCAATTTTGTTCTCACTCAAATCTTTAATGGTTTGCTCATTAACTCTTGGATGTGGTTGAGGTAATTTCTTAATTCTTTCTTCATAGAAATCAACTAAAGTTTCGTCCACTGGGAATAACCCAGACAAAGCACCCCATTCAGTGGTCATATTAGCAATGGTTAATCTATAATCAACAGACAAGTTCTTCACACCTTCACCAGTGAATTCGATAGCATGGTTTAAAACTTCATCATTATTGAAAATACCACATAATGCAACAATAATATCCTTACCAGTTACGCCCTTTGGCAACTTACCCACCAATTCAACCTTGGCAACAGGAGGGATCTGCCACCACGTTTGTCCTGTAGCCCAGATAGAAGCAGCGTCTGTTCTCACGATTGGAGTACCCAAAGAACCGATACCACCGTATGTATTAGAATGCGAATCTGATGCAACAGTCAAGTTTAATGGGAAGGCATACCCTTCTTCAATCATAATTTGATGCCCAATACCTCTTCCAGCCGGGTAGAAATCAATGCCTTGTTCTTTAGCGAATTTCTCGATATTTTGATATTTTTCTAAGTTCTTCTCAGACTTGTTTTGAACATCATGATCCAAAGTACAAACGATCTGCCTGTTATCGTGCACTTGGGTTGCACCAAGTCCCATGAACTTAGTAGCGACCGGCCACGAGTTATCGTGAGACATACAATGTGCTGGCTTGATAGTAACATAATCTCCACTGAATACTTTCTTATCATTTGCTAATCCAACTGCATATTTTTGAACTATCTTTTCAGTTAAATTTTGTCCTTTATAAAGAATGCAAGATGATGATAAACATCTAGCACCAGTCTTTTTCAAACTAGACCTGGTAGATAAATAAAGTAATGCCATATTTCGCTACCAATGAAATTTGCAATAACCAGTAATAAATAACAATACCAACTTCTCAGCTGGAAAATTTTCAATTTAATTTTTATCTAAACAACCCAAATCTGGAGAGTTCAATTTCACTGTAGGATTATGAGTCAGAATTAAAGCCATTATTTGTATTGGTGTAAATTTTTCAATATCCTGCACATAGAAAAAGCAAAAACCTATCTATCGGCAATCATATAGTAGCTTGAAAGACTGAAGAGTACAGAGCCAATGTATACTATAACACAAGCATTTATCTTATGTATCATTGTATCTTGCTCATACGTGGCAGCAATTCATGCGGGTGTACCTGAACACCTCAAAGGTATAGAAAGAAACCACCCGGATGTCATTCACCATCGCATGGTGAGGATCACCACACTCTGTAGTGGACTTATTTTGGTACTCCCAGCGATTTTGACATACATGGGTGGATACCCGAGTTATATTTCTGTGATTTGGTCGTTTGGACTTGTACCCGGGATGACATTGAGGGGCGATGTTGAGAGTGATATTGCGAGTATTTTTCGTAGTATCAAGTTGATCCTGATACTCTATATGGGTCCTATCCTAGACTACCCATGGGAGATTCAATTTGATGCAACCATTGCTCAACAAGACTTCTACGAAAGCTTCTGCCTGATATGGGGCGTCCGTGACCATATATTTGCGCCCATAACCGAAGAATTGATCTATAGATCTCTCCTCCTAACACTTTTACAACCATTCGAGTCGCTCTCTGATTTGCAAATGATCCTTCTTACGCCGTTATTCTTTGGTATTGCTCACGCTCATCACGGCTACGATTTATACAAAAATAGAAATGTGGACTTTTCAACCGCCGCCCTTACCGTAGTAGTCCAGGTGATATATACCACGGTATTTGGCATACTATCGAACTATCTCTTCTTGGAGAGCGGTAACAATTTATGGTGCCCCATAGTTGTGCATGGCATTTGCAATTTGATGGGCTTTCCCAATTTTTCTATTGATAGACCAATATTTTGGACTATAACATATTATTTACTTCTTATAGCTGGCATATGTGGCTTTATCAAGCTATTATGATCTCTAATATTGACATAAATGCACCAAACAAATAACACGATAAAATTTCAGAAACGAGTTTTGTGTCATTTTAAAAACTTACCGTGTAGATCACCACCCAAATTATCCATCAGAAGCTAGTATAAACTAATTATTATTCTATAGCGTTGACGACTAACAACGTATCGATCAGCTATATTTAAAGTCAAACTTATAGCGTTTCACCACTCGTTGCATTAAAGAGGATTTCGTTCTCTAAAATATTATTACGAAACGACCAGAATAGCTTTCATTTTGAAAATAACATTTTTTGCATAAACGTAATAGTGAACATAGAACTATTATTATTAGATCATCAACACCGAATACGCCGGTCCAAGGAATCCAGTATCATTTCCCAATTATTTGATGCATAATCTTAAGAATTTTCGTATTATTGAAATAGAAAGTATAAATACTATTTGAAAGGCTAATACGATACATCGGTCATGTTTGAAGATGAAATAGTAAACCAGACTAGGAGCTATGAGTCGGCAGCCAAGGATATAGAACAGGAAAAGAAGATGGTGGCAGCTTTGAAGCGTTTGTCTATAAGTAACATGATGAGTTACGATCCTGACTTGCCTATTGAAGATATGGAATACCAATATCAATATCAGCAGCACAATGATGATCTGTCCAACAAAAGTCCACCCACATCACCTCAGATGAGAAGAAGTTCGTCACTTTCGCGTAAATCATCTCTCAAGGGTCGCCCATCACCATCTGAGGACTCTTTACATCAAGATCAGGATGAAATGGGAGAGAATATTTCGGATGATCCACAGCAAGAACAGGTGCTAGATACGGAAACATTGTTATGGGTTCCAGCTGATTTGCACCCCGAAGTTGATCCAGAACAATTCAAAATTCACGTCAAAACGAAGGTGGGAGAAATTATGGAGAGAAAACTGAGTAGAAAAAATTCATTGAGTAGACATTCTTCCCTTTCGTCATCATTTTTAGCAGATGATAAGGAAGAGCCGAGTCAATCAGATTTAGAAACCCCAGAGAAGAACATTAAAAATGATAATCTTGAAGTCGAACAACAATCTTACCAAGAGAAAAGATTTAGCAATCCATCATTACGTGACTTGAGTTTCGAGCTAGAAAATTTATCAAGATTAGCTGGAATGGACTCTACTGACGCAGTCACAATAGCTCGGACCTTGTCGAGTTCTTCTTTAGGTTACACTGATGTTGAAAAGCAAGCATTTGATGAATTATCTTCTCCACCGCACACATCTCCAAATAACTCGACTAGGAGACGAGAAACAGACACTTCGCAGAATAAAGCATTTGTTGACCCAGAATCACCAACGTCTCATAAAACAGTCAATAGATTACCCCAAGAGCACGCATATAGTCATTCTGGTAGACATGAACAGCAATCTCGCCAACATCAAGATTATCAAAGGGCAAAATCACAATTTAGTCCAAATGATTTTTCTTTAAAAAGAAGTAGAAGGCTAGACTATAGAAAGCTTTCTAATCCTTCGGCGTCTGGCTCCAGTTTACAAAATAACAAGGCAGGAAAATTAGCTGAATTAAGAAATAATTTAAACTCTCCTTCTCCATCGCCAGTTACACACCAATATCATTTAACCAAGCAACCTGAGCATAAATCAAAGGGTAAGCAGCGCAAAGCTCGTGATTCTCAACTTTTATTCAGTTATCGTAATCCAAATGTCCCACCCGAATCACAATCGTCCAAGGATTCCCCGTATCCGAATTCTGCATCATCAAGTTCTCCACTTGAACAACAGTTTAACACGCATAAATTTAGCCAACATAATGTAACTGCAAAACGCATATCGCATATTAAAAATCATAAAGATCAATATGGCTTACTCCAGAAGCAAGGATATTCAAGAACATCTTCTAGGTCTTCATCTGGAGGATCTGGCAATCATTCGGTACAATCTTTCGAAAAAGAGAAGACTCGTCCTATTCAATCACCTCCGAATCAGCCATTCCCATCTCACACAATCAATAAGCAAAAATTTCCACCTTCCTCACAGAGTAAATATCGATCCGACAACAGAAAACACCATCACAGATCTCATGGCCAACAAAATGATAGATTAAAACAACAAATTCCGCAGCAGTCAAAAAACTATGTATTTCAATTGCAAATTCCTAAGACACGGTCTGAGAATCGGAAATTTGATTCTAATAATGAAACAGACTTAGTTAACAAGAAGTCAGTTCCTCAAATTAAGATAATAAATGACTCTTCTAATAATAGAACAGAAGATAAATCTACACAATTAAACCAGAATCTTGACATGTTGAGATCTGAAATTAATGAATTCAAGGAAAGCTTAACAAAGATCGACTCCCCAGCCTTCAGCGGAAGTCGTTCCGCTTCTGATAGTGATTTACCAGAAAGTAGTGACAATAACGAGTCCGATTTCAGCTTCGAAGCGTCATACCAGAATATAAGCTATGAAGACAGCTTAGGAATTGAGAAGGATGTTTTGAATGAACTTGACAAAGAGAAATCTAGTAACATCGATGACGCAGGCGGCGATTTGGAAAATAAGAAAGCCAATCCATTTGTTAGTCCAGAGAAACCGACAGCAACTCAAGAACCTGTTTCTGAATTGGTAGAGGAAAGGGGTAATGATAAAGGAGATAGTAACAGTGAAGATTTGTTGCAAGATTTTGAAATTGATTTTGATCGAAATGCAAATAAGGATGTGATAGAACTATCTGAGATTGATCAGGATCCACTTATAGAAGAAATTGCAGGCACACCTGACGAAGAATTTATATCTAAATCAAGTGAACCCGTGTCTCGAGTCTCATCTACTGGTGAAGTACAAAAGAAGAAGTCTTTTGGTTTGCTACCAAATCATTCATCAAGCTCTTTCAATTCTGAGACAGAGACTAAGAAGACTTTAAAGAAGAAAAAATCATGGCCGTGGTTAAAAGAAAGATCTGCAAGTTTTTCATCCAGTGATGGTAACAAATTACCAAGCTTACCAGAAGCAAAATCACCATCGAGATCATTTTCAACCCCTGAAACACCTACTAAGAAGAGGCAAGAACAACAACAGATATCTAAAGAAATTCCTAGGACTCAGGATATAAAACCATCTGCTTCTATTGGAAAAGAAAATATGATTAGTAAGTTTTTCAAGAAAAAAAGATCGAATTCTTCTACTTCAGTATCTTCATCTTCTGATATCACGAATATGGATAGCAAGCCCGTACAAGATTCAGGAGTTACTATTGACTACGAATCAGATTCTGAAGCCAAGAAGAATATACAAGGAAAATTGAAGGGTGGAATATTCAAGAAAATGAATAGGAACAAGCAAAATGAAAAGGAGAAAGAAAGACTCCAATCATTGAAGTCTACATCTGTAACTTCATTAGTATCACTGATTGAGAAAGGCAATAGTACTGAAGACTTACATGAACTCGAAGTATCTCGTGAATTAAAGAAAGGTCATATAATACAAGATTTCGAAAGAGATGTTCAATCTTTCTCACATAATGTGTCTGAGGTGGGTAAGCAAGATGAAGTGGAACCATTGTCAAAATTAAGAGAGGAAGATAACGAGGAGACTTTGATGGATAATGAAAAAGGAAAAGGAAAAGAAAAGGAAACGGAAAAAACAAAACCTAAGATTAAAACGAAGCTATTAGAGTCGAGAAAGGAAAGAGCACTTCGAAAATCTGAACAAAGTAAGACTGAGGTGCCTAAACAGGTTACAGAAGTCATGCAAGATGAGGCTGACATAGAGGATCAAGCTAAGCAGACAATAAAGCCAGAAGATGAGAAAGAAGTGTCTCGTTCTGCTCTTGACGTACAAGAAAAATTGAAAAAATCCATCAAAAGAACTTCCAAAGCCAATCAACCTATCGAGTTTACAGACTCCGCGTTTGGATTCCCTCTACCACCTCCTTCCCAGTCTACATTGGTCATGTTAGACTACAGATTCCCGGTACATGTGGAAAGGGCCATTTATCGTTTATCCCACTTGAAATTAGCCAATCCTAAGCGATCGCTCAGAGAGCAAGTTCTCTTGTCAAATTTCATGTATGCATACCTTAATTTAGTAGACCACACATTACACTTGGAACAATTGAACAATAACACCGAAAATACTACTGAAGTGCTCGATGATACAAAAGAATTGAATTTCGCAGCCGAAGACGTAATCGTGACAGAAGACGAACTAGATGATACTCAACATGATTCGGATCAAGTAAGTATCGATTTAGACATTGTTGATCTTAGCAATACCCCTGCAACTACAGCAGAAGTTCAATAAAATGGTTCTACGTTTATTTCTGTCCATTATTTGAGATAATTCAGAAGCATGCCTTTTATAATAAAATATAATAAAAGTTACTAAACACACAATGGGGATCACATTTAATGCGCCAACCTGATCCAACTGTATACCATATACTCAATAAATACTACGTAGTATTGAAGGCTCATTAATACATGTACATATTGAATTCCGCGCGTATTACTCCTATTAATTTCTTTTCACCTGATATTTTTTTTTTTGTATTTTTTTACCGTCTTCGCTTAAGAGTAAATAAACGAATAAATCAGGCCAGCATAGCGTTTCATATTGATCGAAAGTCTTATAAATATTAATATAGTCTTGAATCAAGAATTTCCTATTAGATACGTTTGTTAAAAATTTAACTAATTCAATATGTCTAGAAATTTACCCTTATTAGGTACTGCCGAGGTTGCTAAGCATAATACTCAAAAAGATTGCTGGGTTACCTTGTACAATAGAAAAGTATACAATGTTAGTGGTTTTATTGATCAACATCCAGGTGGAGGGGATATAATCTTACCATACGCCGGAAAAGATGTTACAGGAATTATGGCGGATATAATTTCCCATGAGCATTCAGAAAGTGCATACGAGATGTTAGACGATGAGATGTTGGTTGGATACTTAGCTACGGCCGAAGAAGAAAGAGAGTTGTTGAATAATAAGAACAATACTCCGGTTGAAGTTAAATTAGAAAAAGGCAGTGACGACGATCTCTATGAATTCCACGATAAATTGCCACCAGCAGAGAAATTATCGATTCAAACCGATTACGAAGAAGATGTCAAGAAACACAAATTTTTGGATTTAAATAAGGCATTGATCCCCCAGATGTTGTTCAGTGATTTTTCGAAGGAATTTTATCTTGACCAGGTGCATAGACCTAGACATTACGGGAAAGGTTCGGCTCCATTATTCGGCAATTTCTTAGAACCTCTTTCATTGACACCATGGTGGGTAGTGCCAACAGTTTGGCTTCCAGCAAACTTCTATATTTTCTACGTTGGTTTTGTCAATCAAGACAAATTGATTGCAATAAGTTTCTGGGCTATGGGCTTGTTTATTTGGACATTGGTTGAATACTGTATGCACAGGTTTTTGTTTCATTTAGATGGGTATTTACCTGATCATCCTGTTGCACTTACTCTCCATTTCCTCTTGCATGGTGTCCATCATTATTTGCCAATGGACGGATACAGATTAGTGTTACCACCAACTTTATTCGTCCTTTTAGCATATCCATTCTACAGATTAGTATTTGCCATATTCCCATTCTATATGGCATGCTCTGGTTTTGCTGGTGGTACTTTGGGATATATTTTATATGATGTTACCCATTATGTTATTCACCATACAAAATTACCTCAGTTCTTACAAGATATCAAAACTTACCACTTAGAGCACCATTATAAAAATTATGAAATGGGCTTTGGAGTTACAAGTAGATTTTGGGACGTCATTTTCGATACCGAAATCACTAGCACCTTTCAAAAGAGGAACTAAGCCTTATGAATGACGATTTTATACATGTTTCATTTTTTATTTATTCTAGAAGAAATAATGAATTCTATTCATTAATACTTGATAATTTAATACTTAATAATTTAATACTTAATAATTTAATACTTCATACTTTCTAATAATACATATTTGATTATATATTTACAGTAAAATCATCAGTTGTTAACTGAATTCCACCATGGGCCAATGCATCTTCTTTTTGGGAGTCCTTATCTTCATTCTGTATTCTGAACTTCTTAGGAGCCCTTCGGTCTTGAAAATTTGGTCGTTTCTTCCCTTCGTTCCAATCTATATTGCTATATTTGGATTGAAGACGTAATTTTCCCATAAAGACTTCTTTCTTTATTTCCTTTAGCTTCTCTTCTTGGGTTCTATTTTTGAGCACCCGCTCTTTAAAATTCTGATAATTTATTAGTCCAGAATGTGTTTCTTCTACTCTTGATAAGTACTCTAAGAAGTCAAATTGTGGCTTCAGTCTTATATCTGTCCTAGGTGTTTGTTCATCTGGTCCTGGGTTAATAATATATGTATCAGGTATATTATCTTCATCTTCATGATTATCATCCTCTTCATCATCATATTCGTATGTGTATTTTGGCTTGTTAAATAATCTTTCACATTTTTGGTAAAGCTTAGTATGATTGGTATTCTTCAATATTTTATTATGAGATTCGTCAACATCAAGACCTGCTAATAAAATATCCTGCCAATTCAACAAACGTGGATATGGACGGCTGGAGGACAACCGTGTTTGCCCTTGTTTCTGAAATTTTATAATGTTATTAACAAGGTGGTCCACTTTATTGGCTAATTTTTTGCACACTTCATTAGTCATTTTGGATGAAATATCTGGACTCATAGTTAGATGCTTTTTATCTGCAACAGCCTTGAGTTTATCATGTATTTTCTTTTCTAACAATGCATGTAACTCTATCATAATATCAACCTTACTGTTTGATAAAGTTTCTCTGGTTGCAACCGACCGTATCCTCATATACCGTTGGTGTTTATTTTCGGGTATTACTTCATCTTTCGTGGTTATTTCCTCATAATCTCCGTTGTCTTCTGATTCGTCTTCATCATCTGTCAATTCTTGTTTTGTAATATCTAAATTTATTTCTCGGTTCACATTTGTCTCATGATCGATATCATCAAATTGATCTATGCAAATCTCCGAATCCACGAAGGTTTTGCTTGATTGTGGATCGGGAACTCTTTCAAATGGTAGTGGCCAACTTGCCCAGTTACGTCTAGGAAAAAGCGGGTTTATCTGGTGGAATAGGAATGTTGAGTATAAATGAATTGAAAGATCATGCCTATATTCATCCTCAAGTGAGTTGAGAATAACTTCTCTTTCTTTCTTAGTGGACATCGTATTAGATAATAATAAGTCTTCCCATTAGAATAATTTCAAGTTCTTCTTTTTTTAGTATGAATTTGATTTACAATTGCTTATCATTACAAATTATGCAAATCCAAAAGAGAGATAGTGATGCGAATGAAAAATTTCATCAGTATTTAAGCGCATCGATCTGCACTATCTCTCAATAAAATATTTCATTATTTTCTCTCTTTCTTTCTTTCTCTCTCTTCTTCTCTTTTAAAAAAGTTGAATATTTCCTATTAGTTAGTATTTAGCGGGTTTATAAGAGAGGACAAGTAATCTTGTAAGAACAATTTAAAGAACTTAGTATAAAATCAAAAGTACGATGGAAAATTTTCAAACCCAATTTTTAGATCTTGCTTTAGAATCCCAGGCATTAAAATTTGGCACTTTCACCTTAAAATCAGGTCGCCAATCACCATATTTCTTTAACTTAGGATTTTTTAACACTGGTAAGTTGTTATCGGCATTAGCAACTTCATATGCCAATGCTATTATCAAGTCCGGTTTGGAGTTTGATATTATCTTTGGTCCTGCTTACAAAGGTATTCCATTAACAGCTATTACTGTTGCCAAATTAGCCGAATTAGAACCTACAAAATACGGCAAAGTTGGCTACTCTTTCAATAGAAAGGAAAAGAAGGATCATGGTGAAGGTGGATCTATTGTAGGATGCCAGCTCGCTGGAAAGAAGGTCTTGATAATTGATGATGTCATGACCGCAGGTACTGCAATTAACGAAGCATTTTCTATTATTAGGGAAGAAAAAGGTGAAGTTATTGGTACTATTATTGCTTTAGATAGACAAGAAACAACTGCTGATTCAGATTTATCGGCTACTCAAGCGGTCCTGAAGAAATATGAAATTCCAGTTATTTCAATTGTGTCCTTGTCAGATATTATCAATCACTTAAAGGACAAGATCTCACCAGAAGAATTAAGTTCTATTGAAGGATACAGAAAGCAATATGCTCCTAAGAATGTTTAAAATATCTTTATAAACAAGGACTTGATGTCAATAAAATATTGGCACTATTATTTATGTTATATATGTATATAAATACAATGAAATTATCTTAATACATCGTAATGATTAACCTCTAATTTTCATAACCTTCTTCTTTGGTTGTTTAGGAGCTTGTGGAGCTTTAACTTGTGGCTGCTCTGGTTCAGGATCATAGATACTCTTCGTCATTGGGTGTTTGATAGTTAATTCAGAATGAACAGGCACGATGGTATTCATTTTGAACCCTTTAACCTTAGGTATTTCACTTGGCTCGAATCCAGTTTCATATTCACTTGGTAATGGAATACCACTCTTTGGTCCTATGCTTTCCAATGTGGTTGGGTGAGTCTTCAAGTAGTCAGCTATAGTGTTCAATACTGCTCTCTTATTTTTAAACCTCGAATCGACTATTGCTCCATTCTTATTACTATCTTTGATAAGTACTCTTACTCTACCTGGATTACCGAAATCTTGTGGATGTGTCTTATCTAATTCCAACATTACTGGCAAATTGTAAAACCGACATGCATCCGATATGGTCTTGGCTAAGGGATTTGATACAGCTCTATCTTCTGATACTCTTCTTCCGTCCTTATGTGATCTCGACTTATCAAAGTAGCATGGATAGATAATTTGGAATTTTTTCAATTCAGCTCTTTCCTCTGCAGTAAATTTGTTAGGGTCGACAATATCTTTACGTTCCACACTCTTGTTCTGTTCTGGTGGAGGAAAATTAGGAAATAATGGTGGTTCTTGATCTTGTGATCTTGTAATTTGAGGACCTGGTTGAACTGGTGCTATGGGAGTTCTAAGCGATGGATCAAATTGGGCAATATCCATGTCCATATTATCGATCTCATCATCCAAAACTTCTTCCAATACTGGTCTCTTTGCCATCTTTCCTTGGTGTCTTCTTATTATTGGGTTTTAACACTAATCTTTACTACTAACAGGTTTATGTCCAATATATTTTCATGAACCTCAAGATATATTCACGTGACCAAATATGGAAAACACAAGCTAGCTATACCGTTATCAAAACCAATTTTAAGATTAAATATATAAATAGCCAGCTATATACTATCCAACCTTCGTATATTCAATTCAAACCCCCTTCAGTGATTTAAATATTTGTTAGATATTGTATCTCTGCAAGGGCTACCAAAATCTAATATTTGAATGAAAGTATCATCTGTGCCATTTACAGATCTCTAAACAGCTACAATATATATATTGCCAGAGAAGTGAAGTTGCCAAATACTGCCGGTGATATCAACAAGTAGGTCTCTTACAAATTTCCCAGTATTGATATCCCATAATTTCAACATTCTTTCACTACCACTGACAATTTTAAGGTTATCATGATGAAAACAAGCTATGGCAGCATTATGTCATTATAACTTACATAGTCTGTCACCATATCTTGGATTCCACACTCTTAATGTGGAATAGACCAAATACCCGTCAGATAACTCTAGTAATCCCACTAATGAGCTATGCATGTAATAGCTTCCCATTTTCAATATCCCATATCCTTATCGAGGGCCATAGATCCAGAGTAACATCTCTTAGTATGGAAATTCAATAAAGTGGAATAAATTCTGTCGTTGGGCGCCGTTAGAACATATCTGCAATTACCGTTATCAAGAAGGTCCCATACCCTAACGGTTGTATCATAAGAGCCTGATACTATAATATTACCGAATCCAGACACAGATGTCACACATTGTGTATGTCCTAATAAGGTTGCAACCAAGTATTGGTTTTCGCTGTCACTTTGATCATAAATTGACCGATTAATATCACCATTCTCTTTTTCGTTATCAAGTGGTGACTT